TGTACTTAGGAAAAATGTTAATTAACATTCCTTGTAACTTAGAGAATATTTATATACATTTTTTGTTGTTTAATTTATTTCTTAATTGTGTTGAATATTATACAGATTGATTCAATAAAATCACAACCACATGCTTCCATTCCATTTATTAAAATTCAAAACTAAAATATGTAATTACCATAAAATCCCTTTTGAACACATTTCATTTGATAGAGGTAGTGCTTTATTTATGATTAATATTTTTCTGTGTTTGCCATGATTACTTAACAAGCCCTTATTATCATAATTCAGAAGTGACTGCCTTACAATTTAATACATTTTAAATGGAATAGGTCATCAAAATATTTTTGGCTCAGACCAAAATATTATGTTGACTTATTTTCATTCAAATTACTGTAATTCCTTTGATTAATAATTCCATGTGACTAATAGAGACATTTACCTAACGTTCCTTTCTGATGGATATTAAGAAAACTATCAATTTATTGTTTTCATTTTTTGTGAACCTTTTTCCTCTTCACACTGGATCTTGTATAGTATTAATGCAGGATTATGTTTTTAAAAAGCTTTAAACATTAAATTTGAATTTCTTGCATTTCTTACATAGACACAACAGGGGCATGTTAAACAGATAATGCAAAAGATTATAAAGAAATATGCTCATAATTAAATTGGACATGGTATTTTTGAGGGTTCCTTAGCCCGATTTCCGTGAAAAGCCTTGCAACGCTTTTCCATTTAGGTCCTACATTTAGAATTATTAGAGTGAGCGCAATTTTGTACACAAGTTAGTGGTCTAGACCTACATCAAATAAAATATTAATCTCGAAAAAATATTCACAGTCCGGTCAAGTCAAAAACCTCAGTGGAGTCCCTTTAAAATCCATGTTTATGAGCTATTCTTAAACATAGGTAAAATCTAGGAAATCCTGTACTAAGCAATTATGTTCAAAGAATTTCAGGAATAACTCTGAAACTTTAAACCAATGTTATATGTATAAATGATGAACATAACTTCAAATTTAAATGAAAAATACAATGAAAAAACAACACAAGAAGGGAAGCTAATTAAAACCAGAGAATAAAACTGTGCTGAAATGAAAATACAGGATAAAAAAAGGTTTATTTCAGGTGTCTCCTTTTCTCTCTTATTTGCAGATGATACTGCATGTTTTGCAGACGATGCTGCATATTTTCATTGTTTCATTTTACAAAAACCGTTATATTTACAATCTCTGTCGACATATTAACTTATGGTCTTTTCAGCTTTCTGTACCAGCAGCATTTATTACAAATAGATACAAAACCATACACTTGGATGCCAATAACTGCTTTCAATCAAGCTACCTTCTTTTTTTATTTCAGCCGGAGACCAGAAATATAACTTTTTTAGGACATAACAGAAAAAAGAGTAAAACAGTAAAAGGTTAAGTGAACAAAAAGTGCAGGTAACAGTGAAGATTACATCATACAGCAAGGTGATCTGCCTACCTGTGACGTTCTACGGTGTAAACTACAATGTTATATACAGGTTGTAATGAATATTATCTATAAACTACATATATACATGTGTAAAACAGTTATTAACTATCAATCACCTGAGATCGGATCAAATTATACAAAGGAGAAACAGGCGCAGATCCAGGTTTTCTTTATCAGACAGTTTTGCAAGATTTTGACTAGTTTTCCAGATATTGGTCATGAGTCAAAATTTTGCTGATTTTCATTAGTACTTGCATGATTTTTGCTTTAAAAAATTTAAGTTGATATCTAAATTGCATATATCTAAGTTCCACATAGAAAACAAATCATTTGAAAAACAAATAAACTTAAGTTGATATCTAAATCGCAGGAAGGTTCCCCGTAGATACCAAATCTAAAGAGGGTCATGATCCCCTAACCTTCTCCCTGGATCTGCACATGTAACACATAAAAGTCATCTTAAAATAATAAATAATTGGTTCAGAAATGATGTAAAGCGCTGATGTATCAAAAACTGCTTACCTTTCAAAATTGAAAAAAAGCACAGAGGAAACAAGACTTATAACAAGAATAAATGTAAAAGTGATGAATACTCTTCTATGTCACTTTCACAAAGCTAAAATCATGGTGAAAGTAATTGGAAACAAAATTTATCACTACAGGCGATGGATACTCCCCAAGTCCATGTTTATCAATACATTGGTCAACAAATAAAGGCTGTATGAGCAAATATTTTCATAAAAAAATCTATTTTTAGCATTGGTGACTTTGACCTTGATGAAAGTGAACCCTAACTATAGCTCCAGTTAGAAGATCCACCCAAAGTATGTACCTAACAAATATGGAAGCAAGACCATCCAAGATGACAGAAAAAATACAGAAAATTGGAAGGAAGTACAAAGCAGCAACTGTATTTTTCACTTGAAAAAAAAATGTAGCAGAGGACATAATAAAACTTCATGAAAAACATAAAAGATTTGAATAAGAGTTGGCAACACACAGATACAGATCAAGACATCTTTTATCAGTTGAACAGAGCATTTTTTATCCAGTCCATTTTAGGTACTGATATTTAGCTAATTCAATTCAATTCACAAAGAAGAAATCAAGAACACAGTTTGATGGATAAAACAAGATATGTTTGTAAAACATGTATGCCCCCTATCAGCAGCCAATTAGTCATGTGATAAGGTTATTATGACTTCTGACCCAGTGATCAAACAATTAATAAGGGTTATCAAGTATCTACTGGTCATGACCTTAACCTTTGACCCCTTGACCCAAAACTCAATAGGGGTCATCTGCTGGTCACGACCAATCATCATACAAAGTTTGAAGTTCCTAGGCCTCAGCGTTTTTAGTTAATTGATCGGAAACAGTTTTAACATACAAGGTCAATGTGACCTTGACCTTTGACCCCTTGACCCCTAAATCAATAGGTCATCTGCTGGTCATGACCAATCACCATACCATGTTTGAAGTTCCTAGGCCAAAGGGTTCTTAAGTTATTGATTTGAAAGCATTTTTACCTACAAGGTCAAAGTGACCTTGCCCTTTGATCCCTTAACCCCAATATCAATAGGGGTCATCTACTGGTCATGACCAATAATCATACCAAGTTTGAAGTTCCTAGGCCTAAGGGTTCTTTAGTTATTGATCGGAAACCGTTTTTACCTAAGAGGTCAATGTGACCTTGACATTTGACCCCTTGACCCCAAAATCAATAGGGGTCATCTACTGATCATGACCAATCACCATATCAAGTTTGAAGTCCCTAGGCCTAAGGGTTCTTTTCGTTATTGATCGGAAACGGTTTTTACCTACAAAGTCAATTTGACCTGGACCTTTGACCCCTTAACCCCAAAATCAATAGGGGTCATCTGCTGGTCATGACCAATCACCATACCAAGTTTGAAGTTCCTAGGCCTAAGGGTTCTTTCGTTATTGATCGGAAATCGTTTTTACCTACAAGGTCAATGTGACCTTGACCTTTGACCCCTTAACCCAAAATCAATAGGGGTCATCTGCTGGTCATGACCAATCACCATACCAAGTTTGAAGTTCCTAGGCCTAAGGGTTCTTTTGTTATTGATCAGAAACCGTTTTTACCCATGAGGTGAATGTGACCTTGACCTTTGACCCCTTGACCCTAAAATCAATAGGGGTCATCTACTGATCATGACCAATCACCATACAAAGTTTGAAGTTCCTAGGCCTTAAAGTTCTTTAGTTATTGATCGGAAACTGGTTATTGCTTACAAGGTCAATGTGACCTTGACCTTTGACCCCTTGACCCCAAAATCAATAGGGGTCATCTACTGATCATGACCAATCACCATACCAAGTTTGAAGTTCCTAGGCCTTAAAGTTCTTTAGTTATTGATCGGAAACCGTTTTTGCTTACAAGGTCAATGTGACCTTGACCTTTGACCCCTTGACCCCAAAATCAATAGGGATCATCTACTGATCATGACCAATCACCATATCAAGTTTGAAGTTCCTAGGCCTTAAGGTTCTTTAGTTATTGATCGGAAACCGTTTTTTACCTAAGAGGTCAATGTGACCTTGACCTTTGACCCCTTGACCCCAAAATCAATAGGGATCATCTACTGATCATGACCAATCACCATATCAAGTTTGAAGTTCCTAGGCCTTAAGGTTCTTTAGTTATTGATCAGAAACCGTTTTTGCTTACAAGGTCAATGTGACCTTGACCTTTGACCCCTTGAACCCAAAATCAATAGGGATCATCTACTGATCATGACCAATCACCATATCAAGTTTGAAGTTCCTAGGCCTTAAGGTTCTTTAGTTATTGATCGGAAACCGTTTTTGCTTACAAGGTCATTGTGACCTTGACCTTTGACCCCTTGACCCCAAAATCAATAGGGGTCATCTACTGGTCATGACCAATCACCATACCAAGTTTGAAGTTCCTAGGCCTAAGGGTTCTTTAGTTATCACTCGGAAACCATTTGGTCTACGGACCGACGGACCGACGGACCGACAAGTGCAAAGCAACTTCGAAATGGGGGCATAAATATTACACCAATCATTTTTGGGCAAAAACTGAAAATCTATAAACTGCTGTTTTTTGGGGGGTTTTTGTTGGGGTTTTTTTGTTTTTTTTTAAAGAAAATTGGAAATGTGTCTGACCAATTGGATATAAAAAAATGCCCTGTATACAAGAAATGAATAATGAAAGTTTTTAATCAAAATGGCATTTTTTTTTTTTTCAAGATTTTTTAGATCTGATTTATTTATATAAGCTTAGAATATAGGCGAATAAGACACAGCTATAGTAGTGAGAAACTGAATAAATGACTACCAGCATGCTATAGTTCTAGTTGTGTAGGTGCCAAAGAAAAATATCATAAAAGAGATACTAAAGAAAAGGTGGGTGGGGTACTAAATACAGGTGCAGTATATAGCATGCTAAAATTATAACCGAAACTTAACCTGTGTCAGGGACTCAATTTTTGGGAACATTTCTGTGGATGTGTGCATGATAGACCTACTTCCTGTGGGGGTCACCCCGCCGCGATTTGTGATCGTGATCCGATTTTGATTTACTTCCGTGTATCGTTGTTTTGCGTAGTCGGTCCTCAACTTCTTTGCGATGTTTATCGTCCTCCTTCTTCCTGAACTCTTCTGTGGCTCTTTTCCTGTAAATTTAAAATTGCGCTACAATCAACTTCAAACAATCTCGAGATTAGTTTTAATTTGAAACAGTTTTTCTTTATGATCATTCTTTAAAACAAATTTTGCAATTAATAAAGCTTCCGGGACTAACTAATTCCCGGCTGACTACATAGGGAGATAAAATCATTAGGTTGAGATGCATAAATCTCTTGTGTAGTCTGAAAAGATATAAAATACTGTCATGGAAATTGTCATTAATGAATTTCTAACATTTTGTCTATGTTACATGTATTTTGTTTAAACATAGCACACAGTAAAGATGGCATGGCAACTTAAATGCTGTCCTGGAAAAAGCAGAGCTTAGGTGCATTTTTTATGTGAGTATTATTAAAGTCTGAGCCAGCACCTGAGCAGGACCACTAACCTTTTGTAAGCTAGATATAATGGTTTATCACATTAAAATTCTCAAGCAGGATATAAACACCTGAAGCAGTGAAATGCAAATGGTTTAAAAGCCAGCAATCTTCACCATTTGACTACGAAGGCCCCAGTATCAAAACTTGGTCATTTGCCGTTACTACTGGAACTGAAAGTGATTTAAGCCTGGTAGAGACAGGCAAACCTGTACTTCCATGCCCTTTCTTGTTGACTTACTTTGAAATTTTTAACTTGATATCCCCCATTATTGCCAATGGACAATTCCAAAAACTGATGCTAGACAAGCGGGCATCGAAAAATATTTTCAGAATCACTCGTCCTACAGGACTAGTAGCTTCAAAATCCAATTTGCAGGCAATATTTTTCTACTCATCCTGCATCAACTGCTATTAAAATCTACTTGTAATAACGAGTGGACGAGTGAAATTTTTTATTTCTGAGTCAATCTAAGATATTCAACAGCCTGTCATATATCATTTTGAAAAGAAAGTTAATAATTTACCTCGCTGCCTCTTTCTTTAGCTGTTCATGCTTCATCAGCAATCGTTTATTTTCTTTAAATGTTTTCCGCACTCGGTACCCTCGGAAAGCTGACTGGATTTTTAACGCAGCGATATCTTGTATTCCGGTTATTGAAAGCGCCCCCTGTTCTAACATGTACTGAGCCACTTCATGGTGCTCTCCCATTAATGCGTAGTCTAATGGTGTGTACCTATAAAATTAAAATGTGAAATTTAGTGGTCTGAGACCATGACTATGTTTTTGATTATAATTGACTTTTAGAATTGTGCATTTTGTGGTTTCTGACATTAATTTTCTAAGCTAAAGGTACATGGCATGTTATGATAATAAATATAATTTAAAACTGTGCATTTTGTGACCATTTATTACAAAGGCTGATGCCATAACACTATGAAAAAGTGTGTAACTAAAATATTTAAAATTAAAATGAACTTTGTGATTTATGATCACACCAAGGTGGATGCCTCTCTCTAGGTATTTAAAATCATAATGTCAAAAAAAAATGTTTGAAATTATACAATACCTGTCTTCTGTAAACTCCATGTGGTTAGGAAAAGTTCTATATTCTATGAGTAACTTGACAGCATCTAGATGACCTTTACTACATGCCCAGTGTAATGCTGTCATACCCTGTAATATATATAATATATAGAGGATATTGAATGAGTGTAAGTTCATACTGTGTTTATTGAACGAGCCTCTTGCGAGCAAAATATTATTTTATTCAATGAGTTTAAATAAATTTGGAAATGAACCTTCAAGAACATAGTATTCTATTTATCAAAGACTGTTTATATTGTAAAAGAGTAATTTTACATTAAGGTATGATCCACCTAATGCATTACCTCCACTTTGAAGAGTACTCAAATAGGCTAGAACTACTGTAAGCTGCATTGAAACTGAGGGGCGCGGGTTCAAGCCCCAGAAGAGGCAACTTTTTTTTTCTTTCTTTTTTTTTCTTTGAACATTATTTGTGTCTCTCAGATCACTCTTGATAAGAAAAAAGTGTTTCGTTTTAATTATAAAATTATTATTGGTATTTATTGGATAAATTGTGCCAAATTTATTATCAATTATGCTACCGGATATTTTCAAAGTCTAATAAAATAAAAACTAGACGGTAAAAGTATTTTATATTTGACAAGCACATCAAATATACTTTTAAGAAAATTTATGCAAACTTTGAAAACAGCCCCTGATTTGAGTAAATTTTAGGGATATTTTTAATAAGGCCCTCCAAGTATAAAAATGATCAAACAACTACTTAAAATGGGTGGGGAAGGGTAACATTTATATACATATTTCAAACGTTTTGAGTAGAAACAATAATTTTGCTGGGCCATTTGTTAGCTGAATGATATCATTTGTTTCTTAAATATTTTCTATAGGAAAACATCATTTTATAATGATTATATAATAGAATAATTAGAGTTTCTCATTTCTGAAAAAGAACCCTTCTAATAGCCAAGTTTTACTTTAGAAAAATATTCATAACTCGTAAACCGTACGGTAAACTTTGTTTAAATTTTGCATTCTTATGTCTTTTCAGGTGTATAACTGACCTATGTTGTCAATTTTATAGTTCCTTATAGTGCCCATTAGGGGGCTCATACCTTAACAAGCCTATAGTGTTACGCTTCCATTTAGCGCGTCTTTACACTATGTTTGTATAACGCAAATGACGACACAAAATACTAATTTTACGGAGTCACAAAATCGGCACGGGTATGTGATAAAAATGTGAATGTCATATGGTGACTTTCCAGCTTAACCCAAGATGCACACTCTTATATTTTGCCCTTATTATCATTATTTCACCAACAGGTAGGACCTGAGTTACACGCACAAGCTTTCTGTAAGCCTGCTGGATATCTTCCTCATGGATACTTCCTCACATGAAATTCATAATCCCTGGCATGATTGAAACTGTAGAATTTTTCCACCATACCTATACATTCCAGATTCTGTGTTAAAATCATAGTGATAGCTAATGTAGCCTGTGTTGAAAACATTTCATAATTTTAATGTAAAACAAAATGAACACAGTGTTGTTTTTTTCTTTAGACAAGTCCATTAAATCCTTTTCCAGATGGACAGAAAATGTATATTTTCCAAAATCCCCCAATTACTACAAACAAATCAAAAAACATGTATTTATTCTGCTGGAGTAGGGACTCAGAAATCTCCTAATTTCTCAAATTTCACATTTCTATAATTTCCAAATTGGGCAGAGTCAGACTTGTTCCAAACAGAGTGAAACAAACACTGTTCAGACTATTGAAATATAAGCAAAGAGGTTTTACAAATATACTGATAAAGAAGAAATAAATATCTCACCTCATGGTCATGAGCATTAGGGTCAGCTTTATGTTCCATGAGTACAGACATACAGTTAACATAGCCTCCATATGCTGCACACTGTATCGGGGTTCGTCTGTAAATATAAAATAATATTAACATACCTTCTTTGATAATTTACCATAGTAATTTAACAGTGCCTTTTTTTCAATTTTCAAAACAACCTGCAGCTTTCTGGCGCCCTAAATCAGAAAAGGGGAAAAATCTGAAATCAAATTCCACCAACTGAGAATGGAATTTACCCGCAAATTTTATAAAATTTTCAATTTCAATTCAATTTATCATGCAGAGGCTATCTATACGGACTGTTCAGTCAATAAAATTTATTAACAAGCTGATATAAGTCAGCTCCTGTTAAGTCATGGTTCTTAAGTCAAGAATGTGCACAGGCCATTTTAGGAGAAAATATTAGCATTTCTATGAAAAAATATACCTATTTTGAGCTATTTTGGGCTAGGGGAAAAATACAGGAGATAAAAATGACTTTATTAGCGCAAACAATATCTCAATATTTCTATTTACTTAGCTTATGAAGGATATGACACAGTTTATTAAGACAATAGTCCTACTATTCTTCCAAGAATTAAGCTCACAAGAGCTGTCAGTTGTACATCTCCATCAACTTTCCTCAGAGCTTGATAGTAAAAAACAAGGCATTGCATCATATAGAAATTTAAAACAAGGAATATCCTATTAAAAATACTTGACATAGGGTCTTCCAAATTGACCTTCAATGATTTCAGAATAGTAAAAGCTAAACATTTTTCAAATAATTTCAAGCAACTTACCCTGAAGAAATCTTTGATATTAGGGTCTACACCATATTTGATTAAAGTCTGACATATATATGCATGTCCTCCAAGAGCAGCCCTGCAATATATATAAATTTTCATAAATTTCAGTCTGCACTGGTCACATGGGTAGAATTTGTACCTGCCAGTAGGCTGAGGGTAAAAGAAGTTGTGGTAGCTGAGCAAGTATAATAATTGACTCTCGTTGAATATATAGAATTAAACAAGCTTGATTAAAAGAAAAATGATATCTTGTTTAAGATATAACAATATCTTCATAGGATATAAAATATCTTCATAATTCTGACATTTGTTACACTGATTTTCATTGGTCAATCATGACATTTATATTTTTCATTAAACATGACATGGAAAATGTCTTTATATAATCTAATTCACGACATTAAGGTACATGTAGCATCCAATATCAAAAATACATGGTTACTGAACTGGCATTAGTACAAATCAGAAGCAAACATTTGTGTACACATACCAATGCAGCGGAGATCTGCCATCATCGTCAAGCATGTCGACCCTCGCTCCGTCATCTATCAGAGTCTGTACAACATCAGTATGGCCCATTTCACAAGCTCGGAACAACGGTGTATGCTTCATAAAATCGGCAGCATCTATATGAGCCCCGTGATCCAGTAATAACTTCACTGAACGTGCATGTCCAGAAAGAGCAGCGGCATGTAAAGCTATAAAATATATATACAATGTGTATTTCACTAATATTTATCTCATTTTCATTGTGAAAACTATTATACAATGTCAGTGCAAGTGTTAATATTTCACTGCAGGAAAGAATAGCTCTACACTTAAGAGAGCAAAACATATCATGCAACAATATATCATTGTTTTTTTGTTTGTTTTTTTTTCCCAAAGCATTTTAAGAGCAGATTTGTGCCTACACAATGAATTTACATCTTAACAAAAACAGCAAGTTCTGATAATATAAAGCCAAATTGTGAATATTAACACTCCTAACACTAGTTGGGGAATGGTGCAATTAGACAATTGTTGACAATTTGATACCAATTTCTGAAAATTACAATTTCAAGCAATTTGGAATATGTACGTTTACTGGGCCAGTCACTAGAAGGAAAATAACTTTGATAAATGATACCTTTAAATCAAAACTAACTGCATCCTACCTGATCCACCATTTTTGTCGACTTGCTGTATATCGACATTATGTTTAATAAATACTGAGATGACTTGATCAGCGCCTTTACCCGCGGCCCACATAAACGCTGTACGTCCTTCAACATCAGCTTCATCAGTGACACTGGCACGAGCCAAAAACATCTCACAAGTTTCCTGGGGGAAAATCAAGTACGTTTTACAAATGAAAACTTTTAATGTTGAAGATTATATGTGATTTAAGAAAAGTTTTGGCCATTTTGTCATGAATGTTAATCTATCAAACATACTGAGTGATATTCTATATAACCTTTATATGAATTCCTATTGTTTTAAGGAATAATGTAGGAACATTATTCCGATTGAAATTAAAGCACATGCAGGGCTCACACTGGCTCAAATAAAATAATAGCCAATAATTTTAACTTAAAAAAATAATAGCCAAAAGTTCAGCGGACTATTCACGAATTAGCGATTAACAACATAAGAAGTTGATTAAATAAACATTACATTTATATCTTTCAGTTTTATAAGGATTCTCAAATAAACTGATACATTTGTGTATATTGATAACTACCTTTTTTAAATAGAACCACAACTTTAATTGTTATTATAGAACAGAATAAAAACGTTATAATTAGTATAATTACTGTATAACAATAATATTAAAGATTCATTATAACTTTACATAATGCTGTTATCAGACAACTTTTTTTGTTTGTTCTTATCAAATTTTGTCAGCTAAAACCACTGTCAATTTAGAACTGGAGTAGATCTAGGTCATATTAGCCTAAAGAAATAACACGAGTTTGCAAACTCATTCACAGAATGCAGCCTTTTTTCTGAATAATTTACTGAAAAATATCATCATCACCAATGTAATACAAATTTTCTGCCATAGTAGTAAAGATTTTTAAACAGAACATAGCTTATTTCACCTTTAAATAAATATCAAAATTATTGGTGTCGCGAAAATATGTGACAATCGGATTTTTCCTGTTTTCTGAAGAAATATTCACAATTTTGGTTGTTGTGCAAATAGTTGTTTGGAATTTAATACTTTTTAAATATTTTACCATTGTTTTCCACTGGCGATTTAGTCAAGTAGCTTAAAACAAAAAAAAAAATCAAAATTTGCAATTACTGGAATTCACGGTAAATTTTGGGTAAGTCAATGTCCAGTTTATCAATTTTAAAACGATTTTTGTGGCTAATTGACGGATATTTGATGGCTATTATAAATGCTGGACAATATCTTTAAAGTACTTATACAATTATACATCTCGCATGTATTTTATCACCTCGGGCAATATAGTTAGCAGCACGTGACCGGTAAAAAGTTGACACTCGATTAAATGCACCCCGCTGGTGTTAATTGGGTCTACTGCATTCATTATCGATTTTTACACCTTGTATAAACACTGTTGGAAGTAAAAATAATCGCCAGATTTTGTAGCCAAAATGCAAAAATAATCGCCAATCTTATAAAATAATCGCAAATGGCGACTATGGCGACCGACAGCGTGAGCCCTGCACATGAGTAAATGAAAATACTGGAAACTTGACAGAAGTAAGTTATTTCACTGAGAATAAAGCATATGTCATTAAAGCAATCTTGATGATAATGAATAAAATGAAATCAATTATTTCAAATGGCCGAGTCTTTTGCCATACAATTACAATAAAGGAATATATGTCATTCTTTCTGTAAAATTGACAAAGAACATCAAAATGCTACCCTGCATGCTTTAAACATTCACATTAATTTACCAAAAGGTCTTTCAAATATGATGAAAAGGTCAAGTACAATTAAAAGGATAGGTAGTGATGTTGATCAGATATATAACATAATTATACTTACATCAAAGTTATTTTGGGCAGCATAATGTAGTGGGGTAGCACCATTTTGATCTGAACTAGAGAAGTCTGCATTATTGTCTAGCAGAAGAGACACTATTTTTGAATGCCCTAAAAAATAAAAAAAAAATAAATAAAAATTTGGATACATTAACTACTAAAATACCTCCAGTGATAATTGAAAAATGTTTATATGCCACCAGTTTAATGCTAGTTCAGCCAGTACACTCATACAGGTGCCATAACATGAAATACTATTTTGGCCTGTGTTTGACACAATAATAAAATTTCAGAACAGAGGGCAACCCTCTATAATGCCAGTATCAAAAGCAAAGGTTGTGTTGCATATTCTTATATGTGGAATCAGAAACCCACCATGTGCCTCTCGTAACTGTTTGTTGGATAATTTTAGCACATTTTTTGGTCCTTTCTCAGAAAATAATCCACCAAAATGGTTTTCCTGGATAACTAACCAGTAATAAACCAATGACAGGCTACTAAATCCCACATGATATTTAAATCAGCAGTGAGAGACAAATGACCATTAGACTTGTCATAGTTAAATTTTGTCACTAAGAAATTTAGCCTCATCCAGAGATCAAACCTGCAACACTTGGATAACAAGATATGTTTGTAAAACATGTATGCCCCCTATCAGCAGCCAATTAGTCATGTGATAAGGTTATTATGCATGACTTCTGACCCAGTGATCAAACAATTAATAAGGGTTATAAAGTATCTACTGGTCATGACCTTGACCTTTGACCCCTTGACCCAAAACTCAATAGGGGTCATCTGCTGGTCACGACCAATCATCAAACAAAGTTTGAAGTTCCTAGGCCTAGGCGTTTTTAGTAAATTGATCAGAAACCGTTTTTACCTACAAGGTCAATGTGACCTTGACCTTTGACCCCTTGACCCCAAAATCAATAGGGGTCATCTGCTGGTCATGACCAATCACCATGCCAAGTTTGAAGTTCTTAGGCCTAAGGGTTCTCTTATTATTGATCGGAAACCGTTTTAACATACAAGGTCAATGTGACCTTGACCTTTGACCCCAAAATCAATAGGGGTCATCTGCTGGTTATGACCAATCACCATGCCAAGTTTGAAGTTTCTAGGCTGAAGCGTTCTTTAGTTATTGATCAGAAACCGTTTTTACTTACAAGGTCATTGTGACCTTGACCTTTGACCCCTTGATCCCAAAATCAATAGGAGTAATCTGCTGGTCATGACAAATCACCATACCAAGTTTAAAGTTCCTAGGCCTAAGCGTTCTTGAATTATTGATCAGAAACCGTTTTTACTTAAAAGGTCAATGTGACCTTGACCTTTGACCCCTTCACCTAAAACTCAATAGGGGTCATCTGCTGGTCATGACCAATCATCACACAAAGTTTGAAGTTCCTAGGCCTAAGCGTTTTTAGTTAATTGATCGGAAACCATTTTTACCTACAAGGTCAATGTGACCTTGACCTTTGACCCCTTGACCCCAAAATCAATAGGTCATCTGCTGGTCATGACCAATCACCATACCAAGTTTGAAGTTCCTAGGCATAAGGGTTCTTAAGTTATTGATCGGAAAGCATTTTTACGTACAAGGTCAATGTGACCTTGCCCTTTAACCCCTTAACCCCAAAATCAATAGGGGTCATCTGCTACTCATGACCAATCACCATACCAAGTTTGAAGTTCCTAGGCCTAAGGGTTCTTTAGTTATTGATCGGAAACCGTTTTTACCTAAGAGGTCAATGTGACCTTGACCTTTGACCCTTAGACCCCAAAATCAATAGGGGTCATCTACTGATCATGACCAATCACCATCTCAAGTTTGAAGTCCCTAGGCCTAAGGGTTCTTTCATTATTGATCGGAAACCGTTTTTACCTACAAGGTCAATGTGACCTTGACCTTTGACCCCTTAACGCCAAAATCAATAGGGGTCATCTGATTGGTCATAACCAATCACCATACCAAGTTTGAAGTTCCTAGGCCTAAGGGTTCTTTTGTTATTGATCAGAAACCGGTTTTACCTACAAGGTCAATGTGACCTTGACCTTTGACCCCTTGACCCCAAAATCAATAGGGGTCATCTACTGATTATGACCAATCACCATACCAAGTTTGAAGTTCTTAGGCCTTAAGGTTCTTAAGTTATTGATCAGAAACCGTTTTTGCTTACAAGGTCAATGTGACCTTGACCTTTGACCCCTTGACCCCAAAATCAATAGGGGTCATCTACTGATCATGACCAATCACCATACCAAGTTTGAAGTTCCTAGGCCTTAAGGTTCTTTAGTTATTGATCGGAAACCGTTTTTGCTTTCAAGGTCAATGTGACCTTGACCTTTGACCCCTTGACCCCAAAATCAATAGGGGTCATCTACTGGTCATGACCAATCACCATACCAAGTTTGAAGTTCCTAGGCCTAAGGGTTCTTTAGTTATCACTCGGAAACCATTTGGTCTACGGACCGACGGACCGACAAGTGCAAAGCAATATACCCCCTTTTTTTCAAAATGGGGGCATAACAATTCTGATAAACTCCTTTTGAGCCAAGTGGGGCTCTCATGACTGATATTAAAGCAGCATACCTCAAGATTCATGCTATTTTCATGAAAAAATTTGAAAAATTTCTAAAAGCAAAATTTTGTGAAGTGATCAAAGATATTAATATATCAAATTTGCAAATTTCACCTACAATCCAAGTAAATTACCAGAAAGAGGTAAAATCATGCAAAAATAGCCCTTACTTTGTTAGTTGTAAGCAGTAGAAATATGGAGATAAATACTGCAAAATCAGTCTTTAATCACACATAACATGTAAATTATACCACTTGAATCTTTTTACTTTTCTTAAAATCTAGTAAGTACAATTTTCTCAAATTTAATTTCCTTGAAATATTTTTGGTGGCATGCAGCTTTAAGATTAGAATTCTGCAGTAAAGTAAACAAATACGTCAATTTTAGGCATGTAAAACTTACAGTACTACAAAATTAATACATGCTTTTTTCAATGATTAAAGTAGACTACATAGTACATACCTAGAACAGCTGCCCAGTGTAAAGGAGTTCTAAACATATTATCTAGGGCTGATACATTGCAGTTCTCAACAGCAACCTGTTTACCATAGAAAATATATATGCAAGAAATATTAAAATCCTCAAAAGTTTTTCAAATCCATAGCTACACAATACTGTCCTAGAAGAGTGTAAAAATAGGAGATTAAACCTGTCATTGCAAAAATGATACCAACTTATGGTTCACGTCAACTTGATGGGTCAGTCAGATCATTTCAAATCTTTTATTTTTTATTTTTGTCGGAAATATTCTTCTTCCAAACTTTGAAGTAATATGCAAATGTACTCAGTATTCTAATTCATGAAAAAAGGACTATATTTAATTGTTTGTTTTTAATCTCAATTTATGATATTTGAAACAAACAATGAGTGGTATACATTAGTATCTCAAACAGTAACTGTCAACTATTTTCCTTACATGGAATATTTATATTTACAATAAATTTGTTATATACATGAATGTAACTCTAGCAAATTCACTTTATTACAAAATGTATATATTGTTTGAGTTTGCAAAAGCTCCACTATGACCTCCAATCAAGTTTAACTAGCTTAGTTCTTACCACAAATGTCCTTCTTATAGCCTAGAAATGTGTAAGGAATGGAAAGAATTCTCTTACTATGCTAAAAATGCTAAAATTAAAAACCTAATGAAACAAGAATTTGTAACAGAGTTACCAACGTCCCCTGCCTCCGGGAAGTTTTATATGAAGCATATATTGTGCTATTTCAAAAGATTGAGGTATGGATCTCAGGACTTTCAGTCAAAAATTATGATCAATGCTAGATCTGCAAATGCAAGAATAAATTTATTTAAGAAATAAAATGATACACAGAATTTAAAAATCTATTAGATCAATCTTTGACCTCTAAGTGTCTTTGGCCTTGTAGGTAGGGGTGCAGATGTTGTGCATGACATATCATCTTATTATTGTAGCTATTTGTGCCAAGTATTTTTAAAATCCCTTGATCTATGAAAAAGTTATGGACCGGACACAAAATATACCCTATAACAGACTATGCAAATCTTAATATTATTACTATTTGTGCCAAGCTATTTCAAAATCCATTTAACTATGAATAAGTTTTAGATCTGACACAAAATATACCCTATAACAGACTATGTTAATTTTTGACCTCTGTGACCTTAACCTTGGAGGTAGGGATGCAGGTGTTGAGCATGACATATCCTCTTATTATAGTGACTATTTGTGCCAAGTATTTTCAAAATCATTTGATCTATGAAAAAGTTATGGACCGAACACAAAATATACCCTTTAACAGACTATGTTAATCTTTGACCTCCAAGTTAACCTTGACCTTGGAGGTAGGTGACCAGTTTTTGTGCACGACACATAGTCTGATTATTGTGAACAATTGTGGCAAGTATTTACAAAATCCTTTCATAGATAAGAAAGTTATGGACCGGACACGACATTTACCTTCAAATAGACAATGTTGACCTTGAATGAGCAAGTGCGACCTTGAACCTCGAGGAAGGGGTCTGGTTGTTGCGCATGAAAAACATTATCTTATTATAACAAACATTTGTGCCAAGTTCAAATTCCAATGATAAATGACAAAGTTATGGACCGGACACGAAAGTGTGACAGACGGACAGACGGACGGACGGAGCCTATTTCTATATCCCTCTTTTTTCTTCGAAAAGGCGGGGGCAATAACTTATTCTTCATTCAGGCACAGCATTATCTTCAGAGGGAGAACTAAAATGACTACAGATTAATGTAATAAAATATCTAACAAATTATTAATTTAGTCTCAAGAGTATTTTGTCATATTACTTGATTTTTTTTTCATTCTTACAAGCACTATGTTTGAGTGAACGTCATGTCCTGGGGTGACTTTGACCCTGGTGACTCTGACCTACAATCCCGTAACCTCTTAATAGGTCTGGTGGGTAGAGCTCATCAAGGTGCACACACACGTGAATTTTTTAGGCTGTAGGCAAATTGACCAATGTGTTATAGTCTGGGTTAAAGTTTGCAAATTCATGTGTAAAATTTAAACCTCATCTCTAAATTTAGAGCATTGTGAAATAAAGGCCAGTAAGAACCCCGACATAAAGGTGACCTGTCTTATGGATGAGTAAATAACATACCAATCCTTTCACTACATTTGCATTGCCATCAGCTACAGCTAGATGTAGGGCAGTTCTACCTTCAAAATCTTGCCAATTTATAACACTGGGAGTTGTGTCCTGAAATAAAGGTTTACAAAATTATATATAGTCATTTGATCAAATCTTTCATTGAAAATCAATCAATTAACTCTGAACATTGACTGAAACTTAAAACCCCACAAAAAAAATAAGTTATAAAACTATCTCCATAATTCTCAGCCATTATCAAGGAAACAACTAGAACTATACCTTTAACTGGAAAAGGGTCTTTGATTGAACCTGCCACAATGATATACAAGACAAACACTGTGTTATTAGCCAGGCAATCACAGCATAAGTTTGTTGTATTTTGTTTGTTTGTTGGATTTTAAGTTGCACTGATACCATAAAGGTAATAGTGACTTTCCAGCTTCACTTTCAGAGGTGCTATTTGCATTATTTCAGAAACACACTGCACCTAAGAACCACAGAGCTTCTGTAAGCTTCCTCACATGAATCCAGAGTTCCTTATTAGATTTGAACCCACAGCAGTAAGTAGCAACTGATCTAAATTCAGTAACCATAACCACTCAGTCACAGAGGCCCCAGGTTTGTTGTGAATATGAAATTTGGGGATATGAAATACAGAAGAATAGCATACCAGTATAAGTTTCACACAGTTCACTGCCTCCGGATCCCTGCTGCTGGCTGCCCAGTGGAGTGGTGTTTTACCTTCTATATCAGGTATACCGATGTTTGAATCCTAAAATGACAAAAATGAAATTATAATAAATTGAGTACTTGGATTAAAACTATGTAGAATACTAGAGCTGTCTTCGATAGAGACAATATCAATGTATCGTTGATACTTTTATGTTGATCAATAATCGATACACATTTTAGAAAATCGCCAATTTTTATCTAATAATTGAATGTCTCGAAATTATGAAAATTCGTCCAAAACATATACAAAAGCAGGTGGCCGTGTAAAAAAATAAGCTGTTGTTACATAATGTACATATTTCATAGCAGTGATGACAAAAAAAAATCAGGAAAAAAATCATGAAAAGGACATTTATGAACAGGACACAATATATATATTTATGTGTTTGTCAAATAACACACCAGCCATAAATATCAACAAAAATATATTTTAAAGCAGCATTCATGCTAATTTGCATAAAAAAGTTTAAAATATATTCAAAAGTAAAATATTGTGAAGTGAACAAAAAAAAGGAAATAACACATAGCAAATGACATTTGCAATCCATGTAAATTACCTAAAAGATGTCAATATATGCAAAAACATCCCTTACTGCATCAATCACACAGTACAAATATGGTGATAAAATACTGCAAATCAGTCATTAATCACATGTAATATGTAAATCATTACTTGAATCTTGAATTTTTATGACCTTTCTTAAAATCTTAACCAATTTTTTCAACTTTGATTTTCTCGAGACTTGCAGCTTTTAAATGCAACATACCTGTTTGATCAGCATTTTCACATGTTCTAAATTACCATATGATGCTGCCCAATGCAATGCTGTCCTCTGAAATATATAAATACTCAAATTACTATCAAGACTACAATGACAAGGAAAAGGAAATGTTCATACATTTGAAATTCTAGCAATTATATTAATATGCACATACATAGCTACACAATATCAAATATTTTACAAAATAACTATTCATTCTCTACAAAGATCACTCAAGAGTAGTTTTGGAAATTTGTTAACTTAATTAAGATGTAGATGGGTGGTCTTCAATGCACATGCTCTATATCTAAAGATAAAAATTCTGGATTGGTTTTTCTATAGTCACTTAACTACTAGAGAAATATAAACAAGAAATCTTAAATATCATCAAAATGCATACACTGATAAGATGGTAATCTACCTTATTTCTATCTTGATCATCAATCTCACCCGGCGACAGTTGCCGTAGCAACAGGGTGATACATTTCGGTGACTTATGTCTGGTACACAAATGCAGGGCAGTTTGACCTTCATTATCCTTCTCATGGCAGTTAGCTCCCTTTGAAAGAAGCAGTTTTAATAATCGAACATTTCCCTGAAATTCAAAATTAAAGCATTAAGATGTTTGATTGTTTATCTGGATTTGAAAGTCGGTTTTAACACATGTTTTTGATCACATATTTTGGCAATCAATCCATCTAACCAGGCTACATGGATAACTAACCAATAATTAACAATTTCTTCACAAGTAAACCTACTACTAAACCTACATGATTTCTGAGTCAGCAGTGATAGACAAATGACCATTAGACTTAATGTCTGTCAGATCAATTGTCACAGAGAAATTATGCCTTGCTCGATGAACAAACCAGCATCCCTGGATTAACAAGCAATTATCATAGTATTGCAAGCAATCCATAGGTCCCCTACCGGTTAGAACCCCATCAAAATCCTGAAGGGCAATTGGCCATTCACTTATGTTTGAAGTTTTGAAAAATAAATACCCTAAGAAATAAAGAACTTATAGTGAAAAGGCCTAAAAACTAGAATCAGAAATCTTGACGAGGTTGCCGACGTTTGTTAAGTGTGACAGTTCTCAATACATGTATAATCCCTATAGTCACGATTAAAATGATGTGTATAATTTCCATTCTACCATCTATCCATATTTTAAGTTTCATAAAAAATTTCATCTTTTTTTGACTAAACACAAATATTGTTATATTTGCCATGTTTTAAGCCTATTTGTTGCCATGGCAACCATTTTTTTTTTCAAAATAGGTGAAAAGAAAAACACATGCATAATCTCCATACTGCCATCTACCCATATGTCAAGTTTCATAAAAATATTTTAAGTACTTTTGGCGTTATCACTGGATCCAGTTTATGTGAAAAATTTGCCATTTTTAAGTCTATTTGTTGCCATAGCAACCAGAATTTTCAACATAGAAAGAAAAGAAAAAAGACGTGCATAATCTCCATATTGCCATCTATCGATATATCAAGTTTCATAAAAATATTTTCAGTACTTGGATCCAGTTTATGTGTAAAATTTGCCATATTTTAAGTCTATTTGTTGTCATAGCAACCAGAATTTTCAACATAGGAAGAAATGAAAAAGACGTGCATAATCTCCTTACTGCCATCTATCCATATATTAAGTTTCATAAAAATATTTTCGGTACTTTTGGCGTTATCGCGGGATCCAGTTTTGTGGACGGACGGACGTTCTAACAGGAGAGTAATAATGTGGCTACTCTATTGTTCTCTCTATTGCTCTTTTTAGCCACACAAAAGAAAATAGCCACATAAAAGCATTACGGAATGAATGACATCAGAGAGAAAGAACAGTTACCTATTGTCCCTCTAGCCACATAATTACTGTCCTGTGAGTGCGGACTGACGGACAGACGGACGGTAAACCTAAAGTCCCCTCCGGTAAATCGGTAGGGGACTAATAATCTAATGCTCTCCTTATTGAATTAGGTGGACTGATGAAGAATTTTAATAGTACAAAATAACTTTTTTAAAAGCCTTATTTCTGGTAACAGATCATAGCCCATGTTCCTATGTATTATTGGGGGGATGTTAATTTTCCAAACTGCCATACAAATGCCACAAGATAGTATTGGGGCAGGTTTGTATGGAATTTTTGCATGCTTCAAAGGCAATAGTTATTAACATTTCAAAGCATGTGCTTTCTAAAAGGAATAAAAATAATTCTTAGGAATAGAATGTGTATGCTCAACTTCCATTTTATTTGATTTCCTTTGTTATTTTTCTAAAACAAAGGAAGCTCTTGCACATGTTCCTTATTACTGACACTCTTATGTTAATTTATACAAAGTACAATACAATGACAGTATATATCAACATCTATGAATAGACCAGTGTTTCATATAATGCGACTCTACTGACCATTTCTTAAATATGTTAAAGGCAGATAACTCTCCAATGTTTAATCTATTCACCGCAGAGTCATTATTATCTTGATGTCTCAGTATCAAGGTTAAACAGCCTTACCTTATGTGCTGCCCAGTGCAGAGCTGTCCGACCACCTTTATCTCTCTGATTGGTTTGAGCCCCGGCTTTAAGAAGAAGTTCAGCACACTCTAGTCTGTCAGCCAGGACACAGAACATTAATGGAGTCCTCCCAAACTGGTCCCCAGAATCTATGATACCACTTCCTGTTTGAGCTGAAATGTAATAGCTGTTAATTCAGTAAATTTGTTCAACTGCCATTGTACCAAACAAGCAAATAAAATGACAAAACTGTCATTTTGTTTATTTAAGTTCATGAAAGATGTTAAAAACTGGCATGTTTATTATCCATTAATGTTTCATTTGCTGTTAAATGTAATTCAGAACAATGTTGCTCATATAAAAAAGTCTCAATAAAAAGTGCAATTTTTGTTGTGTCCAAAACTGTCTTTCAACAAGAGGGCCATGATGGCCCTGGGGTCGCTCACCTGAACATAGGCCCTCAGGGCCGGGCCAGTTTAAACCAAAGGGCTTTTATTTGAACAAACTTGGAAGACACCCATTAGAAGATATTTCATGATGTTAAGATTTTACTACACACAAATTATGAATAACAATGACTTTTGCCCCCCCCCCTCCCCCTGGCAGGGCCAATTTTAACCCCAGGGCTTTTATTTGAACAAACTTGGTAGACATCCATTAGAAGATGTTTCATGCTAAATATCTCAGATCTAGCTCTTTATTTTTTTAAAAGAAGATTTTAACTTTTTTACTCTATGTATATAGGGAAATCAGTGACCCTGGGACGGGCTTTTATTTGAACAAATTTTGTAGACACCCATTAGAACATGTTTTATGCTAAATATCTTAGCTCTAGCTCTTTGGGTTCTTTAATTTTAAGTTTTTACTATATGCATATAGGGAAAATCAATGACCCCCTGGGGCGGGGCCAATTTTGACCCCAGGGCTTTTATTTGAACAATCTTGGTAGACACTGATAAGAAGATGTTTCATGCCTAATATCTTAGCTCTAGCTCTTTGGGTTCTTTAAGAGAAGATTTTTTTAAGTTTTTACTATATGCATATAGGGAAAATCAATGAACCCTGGGGCAGGGCCAATTTTGACCCCAGGGCTTTTATTTGAACAAACTTGGTAGACATCTATTAGAACATGTTTCATGCTAAACATCTCAGCTCTAGCTCTTTGGGTTCTTTAATAGAAGATTTTTAACTTTTTACTCTATGTATATAGGGAAAATCAATGACCCCTGGGACGGGGCCAATTTTGACCCCAGGGCTTTTATTTGAACAAATTTTGTAGACACCCATTAGAACATGTTTTATGCTAAATATCTTAGCTCTAGCTCTTTGGGTTCTTTAAAAGAATTTTTTTTAAGTTTTTACTATATACATACAGGGAAAATCAATGACCCCCTGGGGCGGGGCCAATTTTGACCCCAGGGCTTTTATTTGAACAAACTTGGTAGACACTGATAAGAAGATGTTTCATGCTTAATATCTTAACTCTAGCTCTTTGGGTTCTTTAAGAGAAGATTTTTTTAAGTTTTTACTAAATGCATATAGGGAAAATCAATGAACCCTGGGGCGGGGCCAATTTTGACCCCAGGGCTTTTATTTGAACAAACTTGGTAGACATCCATTAGAACATGTTTTACACCAAATATCTAAGCTCTAGCTCTTTGGGTTTTTTAGAAGAAGATTTTTTAAAATTTTTACTTTATGCATGTAGGGAAAATCAATGACCCCCTGGGGCGGGGCCAATTTTGACCCCAGGGCTTTTATTTGAACAATCTTGGTAGACACTTATTAGAAGATGTTTCATGCTTAATATCTTAGGTTTAGCTCTTTGGGTTCTTTAATAGAAGATTTTTTTAAGTTTTTACTAAATGCATATAGGGAAAATCAATGACCCCCTGGGGCGGGGCCAATTTTGACCCCAGGGCTTTTATTTGAAAAAACTTGGTAGACATCCATTAGAACATGTTTAATGCCAAATATCTAAGCTCTAGCTCTTTGGGTTGTGAAGAAGAAGATTTTTTTAAGTTTTTACTATATGCATATAAGGAAAATCAATGACCCCCTTGGGCGGGGCCAATTTTGACCCCAGGGCTTTTATTTGAACAATCTTGGTAGACACTTATTAGAAGATGTTTCATGCTTAATATCTTAGGTCTAGCTCTTTGGGTTCTTTAAAAGAAAATTTTTTTAAGTTTTTACTATATGCATTAGGGAAAATCAATGACCCCCTGGGGCGGGGCCAATTTTGACCCCAGGGCTTTTATTTGAACAAACTTGGTAGACATCTATTAGAACATGTTTTATGCCAAATATCTAAGCTCTAGCTCTTTGGGTTTTTTAGAAGAAGATTTTTTTAAGTTTTTACTATATGCATATAAGGAAAATCAATGACCCCCTGGGGCGGGGCCAATTTTGACCCCAGGGCTTTTATTTGAACAATCTTGGTAGACACTTATTAGAAGATGTTTCATGCTTAATATCTTAGGTCTAGCTCTTTGGGTTCTTTAAAAGAAAATTTTTTTAAGTTTTTACTATATGCATATAGGGAAAATCAATGACCCCCTGGGGCGGGGCCAATTTTGACCCCAGGGCTTTTATTTGAACAATCTTGGTAGACACTCACTAGAAGATGTTTCATGCCAAATATCTAAGCTCTAGCTCTTTGGGTTTTCTAGAAGAAGATGTTTAAAGTTTTTTCTTTTGGTTGCCATGGCAACCAGAGTTCTGCATGGAATGGAATTCTTTGAACAACTTTGTTAAGGCTTCACACAAGGAACATCCCTGTGAAGTTTCATTATGATCTGCCTTATGGTTTCAGAGGAGCTGCGTTTGAAAAGTGTGAACGGACAAGGGACGACGTACGACGGACGACAGACGACGGACGAAGAGTGATCCTAATAGCTCACCCTGAGCATATGCTCACGTGAGCTAAAAATACAAGTGTATGAAATAATAGTGTATTATATTAATTCATATAGTGTAATATACATAATATATTTAGTGTTAACGAATATACAGACAACATACAAACAATGAGTCTTGCCAGCCATGCTTTGTCTCCATTTACAGCAGCAGCATGGATCTGTGTCACACCCTCTAACTTCTGTGACGAGGTATGATCAAATGGACCTGTTCTTGGACTTGGTCCCTGTAAAAACAAATTAACCAGCTAAATATCTTGAATGAACTTGTCCATAAAATACTTTTTGGAACAGTCCATTATCAATTTTTAGGGATATCAAGATGAATATTTAAAGTTTGTCATACAACAGTATATAGCCTGTTCAGACTGCAAGGATGTGTCGGCTGGCCTTGCTCTATACTGGTTTCAACGGATTACTCACTTTAAGCTTCCAGAAAATTGACTGACGGTTAACAAACTTTTATATTCACTTTATTAACAACATAATAGCATTTTTCGCCATAACAAATAAAATTCATTCTTTGGACATTTTAAGGAATGTTTAGAAATATCTATAAATGACAGAAGAATTATAAGAACTATATGAATAGTTTTTTTACATGCATTACTATCAAATTATGGCAATTAAAGAAATAAAATTTTCATAAAAGTTTTCTCCTCATAAAAGTATGACACTAAATAAGTGCAGACAGATTCTAAGTGTATACAAATAATCTTCAATGGTAAAAAAAAGTTTGGTGAGTGTAGTTTTGTTATTTTGTTTGTTTGTTTTATTGGGTTTTACGTCACACCGACACAATGACATCATAGGTCATATGGTGACATTCCAGCTTTACTGGTTGAGGAAGACCTCAAGTGCCCTTCCGTGCATTATTTCAGGCACGGAAGGGCACCCGAGTAGAACCACCGATGTTCGTATGCTATAGATGGATAGCTTCCTCACATGAAGGTATCCAAAGTCCTTGTCGGGATTTGAACCCACAGCGGTGAAGGGCAAGTGGTTTGAAGTAAACAACCTTAACCAATCGGCCATGGACGCCCCTTCTTTTGTTATCATGATGTACTTACTGCTGTGTCATCTGAAACACCTGAGGAATCAAGACCTTGTGTTTTTGTTGATCCACTATCTTTACTCTGAAAAAAAAAAGAAGAATTTTCATCATCAAACAAAAATTACAGGACTAGCATAATTTAAATGTTAAGAGGTCCTTGTGTAAGTTCATTTTTGTGAGAGTTCCAATTGCTCAGCCTCTAATAAAAATTTATAACAAATTTCAAACAACAAAATTATATGCAATACATATATGCATTATATGTTTTAAACAATATTTTTACATACTGTATAGGTAAAGGCATACATCCATTAACAGATAAAATCACATACATGAGCATGTGCTGTTATAACACACAATTAATATTCCTAACTCTGGCGCGCATGTAAAAACAGCTCACTGCAATGACATCACCAGTATTTTCAAATACTTGTATGCTAAATAGTAAATTCTTGAAAATTTCCACTTGTCCTTAGACTTCCTTACAGACTGCGGGACAACCCGCGCAATATGACAAATGATTTTGCCACCATTGTTCAAACTAAAGACAGTTCTGCAAAGATGTTAATATCAAAACATGGTAAGTTTTGGCTTATTTTCTCTTTAGAACATACTTTGATAAAATATAGCATTAGCAACATAATTTAAATTTATTCACCTCTTTATAATAAGTTTATTTTAGTTTACAGTGAATTTTTTTCTTCAAATTTTAGCAACAGCCCATGCCTTTCTTATTGGGAATTTTTAATGCGGTAAATACCAAATATTGGGAAAAATGAAAAAATCCATAAAAATGAAATTTTCATAGATAGATCTTGGACGTTGGGCACATCAACTACAAGTTACAACAGGCACTGACTCAATAGATACAGACAATATTATAATTACTGACAGACGTAGAATTCACAAGTGCTATTTCTGTAATCTGTGCCTTTTTACATTTTCAAAAGCAGTCAAGATGCTTGGTGTTTCTTTCGTTTGTTTCCTTTTTATTTTCTTTGTGAAGTATTTTTTGAGTTGTGTGACATTATTCCTGCAGTTTTAGTTATTCATTTACATGATTTTTTCGGTGCTCGGAAGCAGAGCAATTTCAGCCAGACGCTTTATCAAGGTCAAACAAAATTATAAGTGTCCATGTGATCGTAGAAGGAAGTCTAAATGCCGTAATCATATTTCCGGTACAGCATTAATGCTACATTGATCGACGATGTTTCAACAACACTCTGCCAATTAACAATGACTTTTTACGATCTTTTGCATCAATTCAATGCATCTTCTGTCAGAAATCAGTTTGGTTGGGAAAAAAGATAATAATTTTTGGGAAATTTCAAGATTTTTAGAGGAAATTTTAACATTTTTGTCACTTGGAAAGACGTCAATATCCTGTGTCAAAATTATGCAAAAAAAAAAATCACTGGTTTAATAATATTGTCCAACTAATTGCACTTTGAGTTTAGTCACTCTGCATTTTTTAAAGAATATGCTTGCGAAATTTTGAAAATTTGACAAAGTATCCAATAAACTCTCAGAATCTGAAAACAGCATATTGCAACTTTTTTCCTGATCTATGAATGAAATCTCATTGCAAAGTTTTCATGGTTGAGTTGTCTTTGGGAATATTATGTCTGCAAATTCTGCTTGGTGTCTGGGTTGAATTGCCTTGAAGTGGTGGTGTTGGTAGTTTTCACTCAATATCACGGCAGTAAGCCATATTGAAATTTTGAATTCACCAGAACACAGTTCAGCCACCTCATTGTTCGTGGACAGACTGTCATGCAATTTACTAGTATTAGTTGCCTCCACTTTCACACAGAACTGACACTTCAGAGCAGAGGTACAGTGCCATAGAAAAGATTTCAAGATCAATTACAACAAAACGTCAAAAGTGGCCTGTACTGCCTGGGACGTGAACCATGGTCGCCCAATTCACAGTCAAAAACTCTACCACCTAAGCTAACCGGATGGCTCCAAATGCCTTGCAGTGCAAGTTGTCTCCCTTTTATACCTGTTTAACTTCTAGGAAACTTGCTTCTAATCTGAAGTATGGCGTCCCATTCTCAAACAACATACCGCTGAGACTTAGGAGTTTTAAATTTCAAGAAAGTATTAAGCTTTTTTCAGTCCTAATTTACTCTAAGCATATAAACATCGAAGCTTTTCAAGGATTTTAATAGCGAGCTCGACGAGCTGGCCCGAAGGGCCTGCTCGCAAAGCGAGCTTTACGGTAACGCGAGTACCTGCTAAGTGATGGTTTTGAAAACTTTCGTTCGAAGTACCGAATTGGACACATCGCAACCTTTCGAATTTAAAGATAACGATAAAAACTGAGGAATTCTGACTGAAAACGGATGTGTAGACTGGTCGCCCGCGCACGTCTATGGGAACCATAATTAGACAGGAAACCAGAATAACGGAAGCTGTAAAATATCGAAGACAATTGAAGGCGCCATTTTGTTTGAAAAATCTGATAAATTAAAACAATTTTTTGTCGAATTTTGTTGTGAAAACTATCTAGAATGAAAGAAAATGGTCTAACTAAGAAAATGAATCCGAACACCAATATCTTTTATTCAGTCGTTAACGCTGTACAGACGTTTAAAGTATTGTTTACGTGACGTCACAATGTAGCGCCAAACAGCACCTAATGCATTACCTCCACTTTGAAGAGTACTCAAATAGACTAGAACTACTGTCAACCGCATTGAAACTGAGGGGCGAGGGTTCAAGCCCCAGAAGAGGCAACTTTTTTTTCCTTTCTTTTTTTTTTCTTTGAACATTATTTGTGTCTCTCAGATCACTCTTGATAAGAAAAAAAGTGTTTCATTTTAATTATAAAATTATTATTGGTATCTTTTGGCTAAATTTATTATCAAATATGGTACCTGATATTTTCAAAGTCTAATAAAATAAAAGCTAGACGGTAAAAGTATTTTATATTTGACAAGCGCATCCAATATACTTTTAAGAAAATTTATGCAAACTTTGAAAACAGCCCCTGATTTGAGTAAACTAAGGGATATTTTGAATAAGGCCCTCCAAGTAGAAAAATGATCAAACAACTACTTAAAATGGGTGGGGTAGGGTAACATTTATATACATATTTACATATTTTAAACATTTTGAGTAGAAACAATAATTTTGCTGGTCATTTGTTAGCTGAATGCTATTATTTGTTTCTAAAATATTTTCTATAGGGAAAAATTATTACATAATTATTATATAATAGAATAATTCGAGTTTCTCATTTCTGAAAAAGAGCCTTTCTAATAGCCAAGTTTTACTTTAGAAAAATCTCATAACTCGTAAACCATACGGTAAACTTTGTTTAAATTTTGCATTCTTGTGTCTTTAAAGGTATATAACTGACCTATGTTGTCAATTTTATAGTTCCTTATAGTGCTCATTAGGGGGCTCAATACCTTAATGTCGCAAATATTTTAAGTTTTACGTTTATTTCACTTTTAATAATCTTTATTTCACTAGAAAAATTATAGAGTGAAATAAAATAAACAAAGTTTTATCAACGTTTTTCAAAACTCGTTATTCATTTAACGACAGGGGCGGAGCCATATTTAACACAGTACGTGTAACGTCACACGCACTCGTCACTGCATTTGAAATAAAAATGAGCGATTATTTCATACTATTTCACGTTAAAAGTACATCGAGCTCGCTTTGAGGCTTTGCCTTTTTCATATTAACTTAAAAAGATGAAAGACAAGTTGGTGAGTTCAAATTTTAATGATTTTACCATTTTGTTGCAATTTTGTCGTCTGAAATGTTCGCAAACATAAGTCCAAACACTGTTTCAATGCACTGATATCAATATAAACTTCTTGCGATATGCTAATATCATACTATAATAAAAATATTATCGAAACGAAAGATAATTTTTGGCATTATTTCATGCGGCCATATTTGCAATGTAACCAAGGAGCATTTAAGAGACAGCGTTTGATTGGTTGAATGAGGTAGCCGAGATTGCTATTGATCGTTTTCATTGGTGAATCAATAGCGCACCTGTCTAGTTTCGCACTCCTGAATCTTTCAAGCCTTTAAATGGTCGTTTATTCGAACCACTTTTTTGATTATATAATTTAATAATATTTTTCAATAATTATGGTAACAATGCATATTTTGAGATAAAATTAAACAAATATTTATTTCATTTACATAATTTCTTTGCACGTTGTTGCATAAGTGTTACCTTAAGTAATGACTAAAGCTTACTAAATCAAAGTATATAAATGAAATCACTTCACCCTGTCTAGAAACATATAGCCATCCGGTTAGCTCAATAGGTAGAGTGTTGGACTATGTATCAGGCGACCTAGGTTCGATTCCTGATGGCGCAGGTCACATTTTCGTTGTGATTGATCATTAAATCTTTTCTATGATCATTCGTAGTGTACCTCTGCTCTGACATGTACAGAATTTTCAGTTCCTTGCGCAAGTGAAGGCAAACTAGTACTGGTTAACTGCTTGACAGCCGGCCTAGAGGAACACTGCGGTGCAATGAAGTGTGCTATGGAAAATTCAGTGTGGCTTTAATACTGCCATGACCTGGAAAACTACCAACACCACCACCTGTCTTGAGAGCCTATACAATGTAATGTGTTCCTTGTCCTTCGATCACTAGTATACTCTTCTTGGTGGCCTAGGCCTATATATTTCAACTTGAACCTTTACTGTGACAACAGAAAGTAAACTTGTTTACATACACCATGTAAATGCTCTAGATCATATCTTTTCTCTAAAAACACTTTATCTTACAGGTGCATAAATTAAGAAGAGCAATAAAAGCTACCGTTAAATATTATGAAGATTTTCTCATTTGTCACATTGCCTTGTCTCAATACTCTCATCATCAAACTCTCTTTAACATAAATCTGAACACTGTCTCGTATTTGAAAAACCCTGATCTGAATTATTAAACAAAATACGCTGAAGAAATTACATATAAACATGATTTTAAATGCAAAAACACAAGCTGTGTCCAAGCTACCTAAGTGATGTACTTTTAGTCCTATTGTCTTGGTAAAGCTCTCACTGAAAATCTATGAAGGCTCTCAGATAGAAGTTTCTAGATGCTTCAAAGCATGCGAGACAAACAGTTTTGTATTTTTTATCTACAAATTTTATATGGACAGTTTAGGTACAAAGTTTGAAAATGCAATAATTTTGCTAAAAAGTTTGGTAATTAATTCCTTGTCTTAAAGCCCCAGCGAACACACCTATAATTAAAATGTCAACTGGCCTGCATGTGAAGAGGCTTACATGCCAAGTGATTCAGAGATATAATTATCAATTACAATAGGAATTAGCAATATTGTATATTTTATTATAAACAAATTAAATCTTTAACACCTTTCACAAAACATACAATTATACAAATTAAATTGACAATTCATGATTTCAAGGTACTATACATGTATAACAATAATTCTGAAATCAGCAAAATTACGATAAAATGGTACATGTACGAGCAACACTTACATGTACATTGTAATAATATAGATTATTGGCTAAATTACCCGGTATGTTGGACATGTCTAAGCATCCACACATAAAAATTACCACAAAAAACATTGTCTCAAAATTTCACAATATAGCTTTTGTCTGAGAATAGTTAGGAATATTTACATGTACAATGTAATGAGATATGCATGCAAAACTTACTCATATCTAAGTGTAATGCATGCACATTTTAAATAGGATAGTCCAGAGAAACCTTAAAAACCATGAAAGATATTAAACTATGTAAGGTCCCCAAAAAATATCCCTTCCCTTCTACAGTTATTCCCTTTTAATATGAGGGACAGCATTTCCCTTTAATTGGCCAAAAAATTTACTGTCATTCTAAAACCAAATTTTGAATCTTCCTTTTTAAAGAAATAAAAATTTTTTTACTTTTTGGTTTTTCGACTGTTAACACTCTTTAAAACCCTAAAAGCGGGCGGGAATTTTTTTAAAATGAAACTTGCTATTTTCATTTTTTTGAACATTCCATTTTTCAATTTTAAATACAACTTTAAAATTTTTTTCAGTTGCCCCCAAAAAGTGTGCAACGGCCTTTTTTCAATACGGGTTTTGGCACATGCTAAAATATAGGTTTTATATTTTTTTAACCCATAAAAAAAAAATTTAAAAATGGGGGTAATTTTTTTTGACTTTTGTCAAAAATTTGAAAATATGTTTTAAATCAACCAAAGCTTTCTAAATATAGCTATTTAAAGTAACTTTATGTTTGACTTTTGTTTTGACCAGGTACGTATTATATATATGTACCTGGTTTTGACTCCGAAAAACGCAAGCAGCATAAAAATTAGCATCTACCTGAAACCTATGTTACAGAATCCATACAATCCATAAAGTTCCCAAAAAAAAATAGGAAAACAAAGACAATCTGTTATATAGTAAAAATATTGTTGCTTTTTTATCTAGCATTAAGCAAAACATAAAAATACCAACTAAATCTTGAATTTGTAATGATAAAGCATGCCAGTGGTTTTATCTTTTTACCCCCTGAATTTTAGCCAATACTGTGATAAAAGTTCTTATAACTTATACACGTTTGTACATTCATCTTCCACAAACCAATAAGTACTTGCATCACATGTGGAAACTAAGTCCTGACAAATAGTAAAGCTTGAATCCACATTCCCTGGGTTAAAAGGTGGATACCTTAACAAATAGGCTACATGAACCCTCACCACTTTCATAGATTATTTATAGCTATGCATAGATTGAAAAGCCAAATTACATTTAATATTAAACTGTGGAAATATACAAGTAATCTATACAAATATAGAACAATAAATAAGTAAATGAGTTACAAACCAACCAGATTTCTTAGAAAATAGCAAAAAAGAATTTGAATTGTAATGCTTACAAATGTAAGTTAAAACAAACATATATTTCCAGTTAACATGTTTTTTCCCACTGTAATTCACTTTATATACATATATAAATAACTATTTATGAAAAGTAAACTGTCAAAATATAAAAATGCTTTTGTACCAATGCAATTAATGAAAATACTTCTGGTCTATTTTGACGTCTTCCTTTAAACAGTTTATTATTTTACTACATCTTCCTTCACACTTCTGTCTTTGATTTTGATCTTTTTTTTTAAACAAAGAAATTAATGCCGATACTCTGTCAAATTAAATTTTTCGAATAGATACCAATTTTGAGTGCATTGTCGTAAAATAATTCACAGTTCCAAGTTCAAATGCGTAAATATTATAATCATGAAGACTGATAGACTTGAGTGATCAATTGCAAAGCATTTCAACAATAAACTGTGCATTATAATACTATCATGCAAGAAAAACTAATATCTTTTTCCATTCTAAAACATGCTCATAAAGAACATTGAGCACAGTAGTAATTTCTTGATGATATTTGGTTTATTGACATCAGATACATGACAAGTTAGCATTCCTGTTTTTATACTGTGCATATATTGTGTATTAATGCACTTGATTGCCCTATCTGTTTGATAGGGAAATAGCATGGAGGATGGTAAAATAATTAAAATGTAACATAACGTGGTTTGACGTTAAAAGTAGCTGGCAGTAAGTTCTGCAATAGTCCCCACCACTTTGGGCGTATAAAGATATCAGATTGACACCAGGCGGCCAAAGTGTCTCCACTTTTTTTACTTCAATTACAATGGCTTTCCAATTCATGAACCAATCTGCAATTGTTTTTCTCCTCATATGTTCACAATATAAGCATAATCAATTAAGTGATGATTTTGTAAAAGATGTTCCGCTGGTGTCACAAGCCTAGGCTTTTTCGAACATGTTTTTTTCGCAATGTCTTCAAATTTGTCTCTTTCTTCGCGCCACATTTTCGCTGCGTCAACATTGGCTGCACTTTCATCAAATTAGGTTCTGCAAACAATAATCATTAATACTATATTGATAATATTAAATCATTGCTGCAATAAAGTTTAACCCTCAATTTGTGTCATGAAATAGCCCAGCTTTGAATTTTTGAATTGATATCAAAATACAATCAAGAGCTGGTTGAACCGGGTGATGCTCCCCAAATAGGTTTTGGACACAGGAAGGTATACCTCTTTTAGTGTCAGGTTACGTCACAGACAAAGTTCAAAGAGTAAAAACAACCGCAAATGTTGTGCACAACACATTGTCTCATTATGGTGATCAATTCTGTGAAAAATCTGACTTCAAATAACAAAGTTATAGGCCGAACATGATTTCGCTGCAAAGGTCCATGCTGTGACCTTGACCTTCAAGGGTAGCGACCCAAATGTTGCGCGCGCGCACATCATCCTAATATGTAGATAATTTCTGTGAATAGTTTTAAAATCTGACTGCAAATAACGAAGTTATGGCCGGACATGATTTTGCTGCAAGGACATGCTGTGACCTTGACCTTCAAGGTAACGACCTTAATGTTGCGCCCGACACGTCATCTCAATATGGTCATTTCTGTGAAAAAGTTTTAAGATTCCGACTTCAAATAATGAAGTTATGGACGGGACACTATTTTGCTTCAAGGTTATGCTGAGACCTTGACATTCAAGGTAGTGACCCAAATGTTGCGCGCAACACGTCATCTAAATATGGTGATCATTTCTGTTAAAAAATAGTTTTAAAAATCCGACAACAAATAACAAAGGTTTGGGCCGAACATGAATTCGGACGTACATTTGGACGGACTGACGGACAACCCGACGAATATATGCTCCAATGACAATCACCATACGAAAGTTTGAAGTTCCTAGGCCTAAGCGATCTTTAGTTATTGATCGGAAACCCTTTTTACCTACAAAGTCACTGTGACCTTGAACCTTTGACCCCTTGACCCCAAAGTCAAGAGGGGTCATCTGCTGGTCATGACCAATCACCATACCAAGTTTGAAGTTCCTAGGCCTAAATGTTCTTTAGTTATTGATCGGAAA